TCCCATTCTCTTATTTCTCACTAGTGCCTCCCGCTACAGGAACCTCCCGGGAAACAGATAACAGGGTGAGGCCCCCTCCACACTGAGACACAGGCAGCAGAGCAGAGGATGGGGGTGGGAGGGATCTGAGTGCAGACAGGCAGCAGGCCAGCCTGGACCCTCAGCCTGCATTTGCAAGGCAGTTAACCCAGAAAGGCCAGCAAGCTGGATTCCACTACAGAAAGTCCTCTGGGAGCTGTTGGTAATACACAGATTCTTTGAGTGCTGAGGCCAGCAAGGACCCCGGACATCATCAGGCCAAGTCCACAGACTGGCCTTGCACACATGCACCATCTGGCCACAGGCGGACCCTTTGGCCTGCAGTGTTTGCAAACATTTGCAGTCAGTTAAAACCGACAGTTGCCCTACTCAAAACCACATCCTCATCCCTAATACTCCTTATCCCCTCCTCCCCTTCTCCTTGTTCGTAGCCACAGCACCGACCACCTCTGATGTATGATTTATTTCACTTATTTATTTGTTCATACCCATTTCATGAGCCACTAAAATGTAAGCTCCATGAGGACAGGAATTTTTGGTCAGTTTGTCCATTGTTTTATCCCCATTGCCTGTCAGAGGGACAGGCACTTCAGAAAAGTTATTTGTTGAATACAGTAATTTTAAATTGGGAGATTTCACATGAAGAATCTGGATTTCAGGGTGTCCTTAAAAATTCAGCAACCCTGGTTTACCTTACTTCCTGTTAACTGCAGGGAGCTGCCCTTTGTGGACAGGGGCCTGAGTTCTTTCTCTCCAGTTGGCCTGAAGCACCACCTTGCCTCAAAGTCTCAGCCAGCTTCACGCATTTCCATGACCTGCCTGGGTGCTTGCCCATAATGGAAGTTGCCCCCCTGGATCAGCGCTAACCCGCTCATTCTGTAAGAGCTGAGGGAACTCAGTCACACGCCGCTGGCTACAGCTGCCTGAGGGTCAGGAATACAGTCTAGTTGAGGACTTGTGTGTGACAATCACAGTACTAGGTACACAGTCCTTTAACAAACGAGGCACGGAGCCAGGAGCTGGGCACATGGCCATGAAGTGCACCAAAGACACGTCTGTAAGATTATAATCTGCGGGCAGATGTCCGGTTTTCTGGGGCAGTTTGATTTGCTTGCTTAGCGCTGATGTGAATTTGGGGCAACAGCAGCCACGCCCACCTCATTTATCATGTATTCTAGGAACCCAACTCCGGGCGTTCCACTGGCCAACCAGCCATTTTGTGGCTCCGGGCCTTTGCACCTGCTCTTCTTTTTTCTGTGCGCTCCTGCATGTTCCTGAGGCCCAACTGAAGACGCTTCCTTTAAGAAGGCCCCACCCTCCACTGCTGGCAGAAGGGATTGCTCCCTCCCCAGTGCTCTGGCCTTGCATCGTTGAATGTTTATCTCCTTAGAGCACAGATCTTTTTCTTTTGTACTCAGTTCTCCAGTAGCTGGGAGGGTTTTTTTTAAGTGAACAAGCACTTTTTTCAGTTTTTCTGCAACCAACGTTTTCCCGGTAAACACATGTTCAGAATGGTGAGAATGTTTAAACGAATGAATGCAATTCAACAGGCACAGGCCGTCTTGCTAGGCTGGGACTCTCCCCTCCAATCGACCTCTCCCGTCTCCCTTCCTCCCAGCAAAGAAAGCCCTTTGCGAGCTGCACACGACCTCCTACTTCCGCCCTCCCAGCCGAAGTGTGGCAGTGGAGGGCGGTGCCCACGGCAGAAACCATTCCGGGGCACACTCCTGTCCCTCCTGACCTCCGAACCCGCTCCGGCCCGTCAAGGTGCGGGGTGGGGGCGCAGCCCACTTCAGGGCCTCGGCAGCCCGGCGGGCCTACCTTGACCCCTTTGCTCAGGACCTGCCAAGGCCACGTCTCTACGCTCCCAAACAGCGCGTTCTTGATCATGCCCAACATGCTGCGGCCGTGGCGCTCGGGACGCACCGGCGTTCGCGGGCTGAGGCGCGGGGTGGGCGAGCGGGCGGGCGCCTAGGCTCCGCCCGGGACCAGCGCTGGAGGCGGGCCGGGGAGGGCGGGACGCGTGAGGCTGCGCGGGGAAGCGGAGCAGTGGCCGCGCTCCGCCTCCCCCGGGCAGCCCGCCAGGGTGCCTAGTGCGGAGCGGCTCTGCCCCCGGCTGCCCGTCCCTCCTATACTGAGGCTGAGTATTCGCGGGGGGCCTGGAGACAGATTCCCCCTATAGGATTTAGGTAGGGTGGTGGAGCTTCCTACACCCCCGCCGCCCCCTCTATCCTGTCCACCGCCGCGTCCTCTCAGGTACTGGGCTGCAAACCTGCGAGCCTGCGATTCCTCTCCGGCCTGCACCTCACGGCTCCGAACCCAGCAGGTAGGATCAGCACAGGTTCCCAGTCCTGTAGCCCCTGTACCCAGGGACACTGGCTGCTGCCTCTCCACTGACTGAAACCCTAGCTTGTCTCCCGCCTCCTCGCAGCACCTCTCATCTGGACGATTGAAAAAGCACCTTGACTTTGATTCCTCCTCTCAGTTTTAACGACGGATTCCATGTTAATTTCCCAAAGCACAGCTCTGCTCATTCAATCTTTCTATTAAAAACCTTCTAACCAATTTTACTACCATTTATTGAGTGCCTATTCCCTCTGACAAGTATTTTACAAGCATCACTGCTCCTTATACCATTAAACAAAAATATAGCCGTTTTACAAAGGAGAAACACAAAGCTCAAAATAATGAAGTTAACTCTCCTAAGGTCAAAAACGAGTGTGAGGCTTGGCTAGGATTTGAATCTGTGACTGTGTTGGCAATATCTGTAAAGCTTTCATTGCACCCTGTCACTCTAGCCTCTCACAGACCTGCATTTTCCCTGTATGCCCTCTATTTGTTCCTGCCCCTGTGCCGCACCAATTCCCCATCAGGGCCTCTTCCCTCTAATTCACCCATTGGAATTTGACTTCTCTGAATGTGCAGCTTTCACTGTGTCTCCAGTAACACTGTGTGGCCCTTCTGTCTGAATTCATGTACTGTTTTGTTTATTCAAATGTTTTCCTGTGTGAGGATTTTTCTAATGCACATTTAACCCACTGGTTACATTGTCCTCTAAACATCTAACCCAATTGTTGGCCTCCTTTGTTCAGGCTCCTCTGAGCCAACATGAGGCCAGCAAGGACCCCGGACATCATCAGGCCAAGTCCACAGACTGGCCTTGCACACATGCACCATCTGGCCACAGGCGGACCCTTTGGCCTGCAGTGTTTGCAAACATTTGCAGTCAGTTAAAACCGACAGTTGCCCTACTCAAAACCACATCCTCATCCCTAATACTCCTTATCCCCTCCTCCCCTTCTCCTTGTTCGTAGCCACAGCACCGACCACCTCTGATGTATGATTTATTTCACTTATTTATTTGTTCATACCCATTTCATGAGCCACTAAAATGTAAGCTCCATGAGGACAGGAATTTTTGGTCAGTTTGTCCATTGTTTTATCCCCATTGCCTGTCAGAGGGACAGGCACTTCAGAAAAGTTATTTGTTGAATACAGTAATTTTAAATTGGGAGATTTCACATGAAGAATCTGGATTTCAGGGTGTCCTTAAAAATTCAGCAACCCTGGTTTACCTTACTTCCTGTTAACTGCAGGGAGCTGCCCTTTGTGGACAGGGGCCTGAGTTCTTTCTCTCCAGTTGGCCTGAAGCACCACCTTGCCTCAAAGTCTCAGCCAGCTTCACGCATTTCCATGACCTGCCTGGGTGCTTGCCCATAATGGAAGTTGCCCCCCTGGATCAGCGCTAACCCGCTCATTCTGTAAGAGCTGAGGGAACTCAGTCACACGCCGCTGGCTACAGCTGCCTGAGGGTCAGGAATACAGTCTAGTTGAGGACTTGTGTGTGACAATCACAGTACTAGGTACACAGTCCTTTAACAAACGAGGCACGGAGCCAGGAGCTGGGCACATGGCCATGAAGTGCACCAAAGACACGTCTGTAAGATTATAATCTGCGGGCAGATGTCCGGTTTTCTGGGGCAGTTTGATTTGCTTGCTTAGCGCTGATGTGAATTTGGGGCAACAGCAGCCACGCCCACCTCATTTATCATGTATTCTAGGAACCCAACTCCGGGCGTTCCACTGGCCAACCAGCCATTTTGTGGCTCCGGGCCTTTGCACCTGCTCTTCTTTTTTCTGTGCGCTCCTGCATGTTCCTGAGGCCCAACTGAAGACGCTTCCTTTAAGAAGGCCCCACCCTCCACTGCTGGCAGAAGGGATTGCTCCCTCCCCAGTGCTCTGGCCTTGCATCGTTGAATGTTTATCTCCTTAGAGCACAGATCTTTTTCTTTTGTACTCAGTTCTCCAGTAGCTGGGAGGGTTTTTTTTAAGTGAACAAGCACTTTTTTCAGTTTTTCTGCAACCAACGTTTTCCCGGTAAACACATGTTCAGAATGGTGAGAATGTTTAAACGAATGAATGCAATTCAACAGGCACAGGCCGTCTTGCTAGGCTGGGACTCTCCCCTCCAATCGACCTCTCCCGTCTCCCTTCCTCCCAGCAAAGAAAGCCCTTTGCGAGCTGCACACGACCTCCTACTTCCGCCCTCCCAGCCGAAGTGTGGCAGTGGAGGGCGGTGCCCACGGCAGAAACCATTCCGGGGCACACTCCTGTCCCTCCTGACCTCCGAACCCGCTCCGGCCCGTCAAGGTGCGGGGTGGGGGCGCAGCCCACTTCAGGGCCTCGGCAGCCCGGCGGGCCTACCTTGACCCCTTTGCTCAGGACCTGCCAAGGCCACGTCTCTACGCTCCCAAACAGCGCGTTCTTGATCATGCCCAACATGCTGCGGCCGTGGCGCTCGGGACGCACCGGCGTTCGCGGGCTGAGGCGCGGGGTGGGCGAGCGGGCGGGCGCCTAGGCTCCGCCCGGGACCAGCGCTGGAGGCGGGCCGGGGAGGGCGGGACGCGTGAGGCTGCGCGGGGAAGCGGAGCAGTGGCCGCGCTCCGCCTCCCCCGGGCAGCCCGCCAGGGTGCCTAGTGCGGAGCGGCTCTGCCCCCGGCTGCCCGTCCCTCCTATACTGAGGCTGAGTATTCGCGGGGGGCCTGGAGACAGATTCCCCCTATAGGATTTAGGTAGGGTGGTGGAGCTTCCTACACCCCCGCCGCCCCCTCTATCCTGTCCACCGCCGCGTCCTCTCAGGTACTGGGCTGCAAACCTGTGAGCCTGCGATTCCTCTCCGGCCTGCACCTCACGGCTCCGAACCCAGCAGGTAGGATCAGCACAGGTTCCCAGTCCTGTAGCCCCTGTACCCAGGGACACTGGCTGCTGCCTCTCCACTGACTGAAACCCTAGCTTGTCTCCCGCCTCCTCGCAGCACCTCTCATCTGGACGATTGAAAAAGCACCTTGACTTTGATTCCTCCTCTCAGTTTTAACGACGGATTCCATGTTAATTTCCCAAAGCACAGCTCTGCTCATTCAATCTTTCTATTAAAAACCTAACCAATTTTACTACCATTTATTGAGTGCCTATTCCCTCTGACAAGTATTTTACAAGCATCACTGCTCCTTATACCATTAAACAAAAATATAGCCGTTTTACAAAGGAGAAACACAAAGCTCAAAATAATGAAGTTAACTCTCCTAAGGTCAAAAACGAGTGTGAGGCTTGGCTAGGATTTGAATCTGTGACTGTGTTGGCAATATCTGTAAAGCTTTCATTGCACCCTGTCACTCTAGCCTCTCACAGACCTGCATTTTCCCTGTATGCCCTCTATTTGTTCCTGCCCCTGTGCCGCACCAATTCCCCATCAGGGCCTCTTCCCTCTAATTCACCCATTGGAATTTGACTTCTCTGAATGTGCAGCTTTCACTGTGTCTCCAGTAACACTGTGTGGCCCTTCTGTCTGAATTCATGTACTGTTTTGTTTATTCAAATGTTTTCCTGTGTGAGGATTTTTCTAATGCACATTTAACCCACTGGTTACATTGTCCTCTAAACATCTAACCCAATTGTTGGCCTCCTTTGTTCAGGCTCCTCTGAGCCAACTCTGAGGGACCCCCTCCTGTGCCTGCATCTTGAAAAAGGGGACATTGAACCTGAACCAGACAGTGGGAATCAATAATAGTGATACTCATGACCTCTAGTTTTGTGACAACAGATACTAACTTTATTAACTATGTATAAAAAAGATTTTTGGCAATAAATATGTGTTGATTGCTATAAAATAAAGGGCACTTAGTTATGTGTTCTTAACTCTAAGATGTCACTGGTTATAAGAGGCATGGTTATTTTCTGTTGCCACCAAGAAAGAAAAAAAAAGTTACTAAGTAAACTATGACATTCAGTTGATTTGAAAACTTGTGGAGATATTAAAATGTGAAATAACATGCAGCATGCAATTTGTAAGAGATTGTAAGTTGCGTAAGAGTCCCTGAGTGTTGTTCCTGCTCACAGCCATTTCTACTTTATTACAAATGAATCTCTTAAAGGACAAAGATCTCTGTTTCTCCAGGTTTTCTCTCACTCCGCACACCCAGAGGCTGCTCAATAATTGTCAAATGATTAACAAAACTATTCTTGATACGAGATCTAACCACCTATTTTAGTTAATAAACCAGGTATAGTGAAATAGGCCTATTACTCAGCATGTTCAAGTGACAAAAGCATTTGGGAATCAGAATACATGGGATCTAATGTCTTCATTCCCATAAGCTCTGTCCTACCCGAATGCTTAGTGTCTCTTCTGCAAATTTCCTAACGTGTGCAGGCCTCTGCTCCTACACCTGCAACTTTGGGGTACTAACGTTACCTTCTCTTGTCATTGGGAGGATTAAAATTGCTCAGGCACTTAAAAACACAGCGGATACTGTTAAGAGCTTGACTATCTCCACTCTTATGGTCAAGTTGTTTCTGCTACCAGGAGTTGAACCCATTTGCTTTAAAAGCATTGCATTGATGCATCCTTTTAAAGCACAGATTATTAGGTGTTTCCTTTATCTGAAGACTTTGATATGCTGTGAGATACTTCCTTTTGCAATTTATTAGGTATTACAATTGAATAATGATGAATGTGTATGTACTATAGACTAAAGATATTGTATGTATTATTTATGCAATGGTTTTAGGAATAAAATATGATGAAGCAGAACTTGGTAGGAGAGAGGTAATAACTTGTACTCATTGAGGGTTGGATATAAGCCATTACGTATCATAAACACTCTAATTTGGTTTATCTCATTTAACCTTGTTGGTAGCCTTGGAGGAAGGTGCTATAATTTCCCTGATGTTGCAGACCAGGACACTGGGGCATAGACAGAGCAGGTAATCTACTTGAGAGCTAGTGATGTGAGGGTAGGGTTCAAAGACAGGTACTGTAGGACCAGAGTCGTGTTGCTCTGAAGGCTTCTCTACGCAGCTAGGGCAGTAGGGCAGGAAGTGTGACCCGGAACTCCCAAGTCACCAAGAGCTGAAGAGAGTGGGAGAGGAGACACTAGGGGACTTCACAGTTCCTCAGAGGCATCACTGCAGGCGCTAGTTGATGTTTCCCTGGAAATCATACCCAGGGAGAGAGACTGATTTAAGAGATCGGGGGTGGGATGTGGGGGCTGATATCTGCAGCAGCAGAAGCCCACTCAAAATATGGAACTTGACGGGAGGAACATTCAGAAGCAGAGTTTACCTAGCCTGAGAGGGAAGTAAAGGAGGTCGTAATATTTATGTGTGAAGCAGGGCAAAGCAGAGCTCCCTCAGCCAAAGTTGCATACATGGTAAATTGTCTACTAAACATTTACCAGGGAAAGAAAGCAAGACCAAGAGCTATGGGAAGACTTCAAAGGGAAATTTTCCTTTCTACTCATGAGACAATTGTCTCCTCCATCTTTGCAGGAAATGTTCATTAACCCAGCATGCCTTCTTGGTCAGTGGCTTACAGGGGAGGTGAGAGGTGAGACTGATCTTAATTAAGAAGTGATGAGCAAAGAAGGTTCAGTTACTTTGGATTATACCTGGTTGACTTTGATTTTTACATTTATTCTGCCTTTGAGTTCAAGCTCAAAAACATACTATACACTGAGGATGGGCTGTTTTATACTATCTCCCCCCTCAAAAGGCCTAACTAATGGAACCTTGCTATTCCATTGCAGGTTATTATTGTCCTCAGGCATGATGAGCCATTTTGCTTTTGGGCTTCACCCTTTCAGAATGGGCTTTAATTTATTGTTTTAAAAATCATTCCCTCACCGATCCCTGTTGGCTATGCTACCCAGGTTCACCCCCGTTAAAAAAAAAATCACTTGCTCATTAAAAAAATGGGCATTTGACTTAAATATTCATAATGAATATGGTAGCAATACCACTAATAATATCAATTCGATGACCAGAGCCCCTAACATCTTTGATATCTTTACTGTGTGACAATGATAACTTACTTTCCCCTGAAAGAAACAGCCGCTCTGAGAGTGCTGGCAAACCAAGTTTTTAGCCTTAAAAGCTGAGGCTGAGAATTAGGCTTAAGGCCATGGTGTCTCAGGGGAGAGATGTGGGTTGGAGGAAGAGATGTGAAAGTCATCAGCATCGTTGGCTGGTCGTAGGCACCTTGATAGTGATGAAATTGCCTGGGTAGAGCATGTAGCATAGGAAAAAAAAGAGTCTAGACAGGCAGGACAGGAGGGACATCAGTATTCAAGGGAACAGGTAGCAGGGGACATAGCACTAGGGAGAATAAGGAAAAATTGTGATGTCGGGAGGGGGAATTCAGGGAGCCACTGAGCCAGGAAGTCAAGGGGAGAGTATGTTCTGAGGAGTGATGGACAGTGTCAAATGCTGCCAAGAATTCAGGGAGAAAGAGACCAGGAAGGTCTCTTTTCTGTATGCATTTTCTGTAGCATCAAGAATGCCTCTGACCTTGACAAGAACAGTTACAGGGCAGGTTGGGGGCTGCAGAAAGCAGAGGGAGAGATCCAAGGAGTCTATGGGTGGTAGAGAAGTGGAGACAACACAGCTTGGTTGCTAAAAGGAGGGGGGAAATACGGAGCCAGTAAGTGAGGAGGAGGGGTCAAGGGGGGTGTTTTCTGTTTGTTTTTTTAATATGACAGAGATGGGGGCAAGTTTTAATTAGAAAGGAAGGAGCTAGGAAGAAGGAAGATGTCAAAGATCCAGGAGCGAGTTGGCTGAGTGAGTGGTATTTCTGAGAAGTTAAAAACAGGTATGAGTTGGAACATGGGTGGGTTGGATCTATCTTCCATTATAAAAAGAGGGAAGGGTATAGGTGTATGTACTTTTGTAGGCTGGAGGTGAAGAGTGGTGTGAGCTCATGTCAGAAGGCTTTTATTTTCTCTGGGAAATAGACTGAGAATGGTGGAGCAGGTAGTGGGATAGAACAGGTACCATTCCTTCCCTATAGGCAAAGCGGAGGCAGACAGAACAATAATCGGAATAAGGCATCAGAACACAGTTGTATGCAATACTAAGAAGGCAGTGGGGCTCTGTCCCGCTAAGACTTATATAGGGTGGTGAGAGCATCCTTCCTGCCTCACGTCTGCAGAGGGTGTCTTGTGTGCAACCGAGACTCCCCTGAGTGCTGCCCACCCCAAGCGAACGAGACAGAGAGAGAGACGGGAGTTCCCTCCTCATTGCCATCTGCACAAAGACCACCTCCCACTCAGCACTGCTCATCCAGGGTGGGGCTCCTGCCAGGTGTTTCACTTTAGACATGTTCCAGCCTTCAGGGGAGACCCACTCCCTACCCACACTAGTGACGATGTTTCCTCTGCCTCCTCTGAGAACACAGCACATAATCAGTAACACAGATATTTATCCACCAGGGAATTGCTTCCTCTCATTTTTGCTTCTAAAGTACAAAGCAGGAGCTCATCTCCCTAAGGTCTGGTTTAATCTTAAATTCATCTGGTACATGTTCATTTAATGCCTATATGTTCCTAGGTAGGCTCTGGGGTTCTATACCAGAGCAGCAAGTAAAACAGACAAAAATCCTTGCTTTCTGAGAGGTTACATTTCAACATGTAAATAGACTGGCAATAAATAAATATGCTAATAAATATATAATAGGTCAGGTGGTGTGTGATAGGAGGGCAAGGTGTGTCAAGGTGTCCCACTTAGGTAGGGGGTGACGTTTGAACAAAGACCTGAAGAAGTGAGGACAAAATCAAGCAGATAGCTAGGGGAGTTTTCAAGTCAGCTAGAAGGGCATGTGCAAAAGTCCTGAGGTGGAGAGTATCTGGTATATTGCCAGCAAGGAAGTAGTGTGGC